TACAAGTTACAGTCATCCAATGTTCATCTATTATTGACTGGTAATTCCTGTTTCACCCTGTACTTAAGCTTTTTTAAAGGAACACTAGAGGTATGTAAGAAAGCTAACTTAAAGGTATAATGATAACATCTTTTACGCTAGAATTATGATGTTTTTCAGCTTATGTAAAATATAAAAGAAACAAATTGACTTTTCATACAATTACGACCTTCGCAGTACCTTATTTTTGTTGTAGGCTGGCAAGAGAATAATAATAATAATTCAAAGGGGCTGTTTTGAGCGTTTTTTTGTGTGTACAGCCTTAGCAGTCAATAATAATAGGTTTAACGTCTATTTGAACGGAATCTTTACTGATTAAGGTGATTTTTGACCGAACGTTCTATTAGGGTTTTGAGCAATTCCTTGCGATCCCTGTTATGAACCATTATCGTGGTTCATGATAATAACATGCAAGATGGTTGTTAAAGAGGGATTTATATATGTATAATTGTAACCAATACATAAACACCAGTTAAATAGTGAGTAGATGATATCCAGTTTATTCTGAATACTTACATAAATGTTTAATTTACCGCAATTGTTCATAACCGAGATATGACGATTACACGTGCAGTTTTATGTTTATGTGTATACACACATCTAAGAAAGATGCATCGTGAACAGAATGAAGCCCCTGAGAAAATCCTGACTATACCCATACATTAATACATATTATGGTTCAGAAACTATTAAATGTATTAAAAATGATTCCTTGTATATAAACCTGTACAATTTTCCAATCAAGCTCTCGGCCAACAGAATACAGGGTTTGGGCAATCCCAAAATAGCCGCGCTTCAGCTGCGATGTACAAAGACCCCCTCATGATTCACAGAGGTCTCGATGTACAGATCAAGCTCCTCAATTACTTCTATAACTACCCCAAGAAGTCCATACCCCGTTAAGAAATCCCTCCTTAGTACCTGAGCACGTGTGCCACGTTTGGTCCCTCTAGCTTGTGAGTGGAAATAGAAACATAATTTCGACCATGGAGCCCTAGAATTCCGATGGAGGGACGGGAACACAAAATCTGGTGTCAGATTTGGGTTTAGTGATCCTGAAAACCTATACCCATTATGCCTGGGTGACCTTCAAGGCGGGTTTTAGCCCCCACCTCCTTGGCATCAAATTAGCAGAACATACCTAGCCACATTGAGTCCGCCTGCCAAGTTTGGTCCTGATAGCTACAAAACTGTGGAAGGAGTTTGCAGACAAAGAAACAAAATCACAAACACACAACACGAATTAACATTGTAACGAATTTGTTATTATATATCTATTTTATTATCAACGTTTGTTTAGATTAAGTTTATATTTTAAAACATGCGTAGCTTATAGTGTTAAATATTTATTGCGAAACTCCCGCCTATTCTCCAGAATTGTAGAAGATTCTCGAGAGTAAGAATCAACAGTCCTTTTTCAGTATTGTTACGTAAAACTGAAATTTCTAGAACGCCTCCACACGGCTATAAATATAACCAGCGCGACGCGCCGAAAAAAAGAGAGTATCTATTGTTAGTTTGCTATGGTCAATGTGCTATAAACTTTGGAAGCTATAACTGTGATTGTTATAACGCTTATTAATCGGAAAACCTCAGATATTTGACCAGGAATATTTATAAGTTTCGAACTTTACAAACCATTTAACTTCATTGGATTCACATTGGACATTAATATTTTTACGAAAACATTATCTAACGTCATCGATGGAAACTCAATCTCTAATAGGCGTATGAACAGTGAAGACTACAGGGCTAGCTAGCTCCCTGTTAATCGAATCGTACCTACATCAACTCGTAATTAACTCGCTCATCGTGAACCCTCGATAAGATATCGAG